TTTTTCCCCCTTTGGTATCCTTCTGGAAGAAATTAAAAAAATCGACATTATTGAATTATCCGGGAAATTTGAAGTTCTTAGAACATCACTGACTTATTATATGTTTTCTTCATTCCAAGTTGATCTAATCTAGAAGCCTGCATTGGCTGTTATACACCTATAAATGATTTTGGTGTTCTTTTTGCTTTGCTTTATGAATAGTGATTTCTGACTTCTGTAAAAAGGTGATTGAATGCAAAAACTACGGTATTTAGGAGATAATAAGTATGACGGCAGGAGAAAGCCTAGTGCCTTCTAATCAGTTATATCATATTTGGCTCTCTTCACTATTCAGCTGCTTTTAAATGACCCTTTTTTCCCTCGTTGAAAATCATGAATTTTTTTAGGTTGCAAAAGAAAGCGCTGATGTAATTGTATTAGACGACAATTTTGCAACAATTGTGAATGTAGCAAGATGGGGGCGTTCTATATACATAAATATTCAGAAGTTTGTGCAGTTCCAGTTGACTGTCAATATTGTTGCTCTCATGATCAACTTCATATCTGCATGCATCTCAGGTAAGTTTAGCTGTACAGTTGGCTTTTGTTTTCTTCAAATGTGTGTAACATGAAAAAAGAAAGAAGTAACATATCCAAACATGTATGGAAACAGAATGTTACTTACACTAGAGTGTTAAAATTGGCCAAACATGTGAGAAACTTTTCCTATCAATTTCAGGATCAGCTCCGCTTACGGCCGTGCAATTGCTTTGGGTCAATTTAATTATGGACACTCTAGGAGCACTTGCACTGGCCACTGAACCGCCACATGAAGGACTGATGAAACAGCCTCCTGTTGGGAGGACTAAAAGTTTCATTACCAGAACCATGTGGAGGAATATCATCGGTCAGAGCATCTATCAATTAGTTGTTCTTCTAGTCCTCAATTTTACTGGGAAGAAGATATTAGGACTTAATGGTTCTGATGCTACTGCAGTACTCAATACTTTCATATTCAACACATTCGTGTTCTGTCAGGTAATCATCTCCATGATTTAATTTATTACTTCAACTTCACCTCAATATGTTAAACCTTGAAGTGTTGCATTTTCTTTATCTTTTCACGAATTTTGCCACGTGTGTTTTCATTATTGTCTTGCTCGTAAGAAACAAAAGCCAGCACCGAACAATATGTAGACACTAGAATTCTTCCTCTCCTCCAAAGAACGTCCAATAATTTTTTAGCGCTGAATATATATGTTGTTTTGCTGTTTCAAAGACAATCCTGCATAGAATGTCTTTGTTTGTCCCACTAGTAATAGGATTGACTTTATTATCAATCGAATATAAACTAGAAGTAAACCCCTTTGTGCTTCTATAAATAGGAATTCTCTTTGTACTTTGAAATATCTTGGTTTGTGTGATATTTATGGACATTTTGTGGTGAGATTTGAGAATCCTTTGTAGTCCCACCTAGCTTCTGGTGGGAGATTTAGATTCAAGTACTTTGTGCTCTTTTAGGTATTATCCCCTAGTACATATTTTGTAGGGAGATCGGGATTGACTACGTGGTAGTCTTTTGTATCCGCCACTTTTGTAAAGTGTCGGGCCACCTAAATTCCTCTTGTTCGATTCTCTCTTTAATATTTTGCCTACTTCCACGCAACATATATTCGAGATTATATTTTCCGATTCTTTTGTTTCATCCAGGTCTTCAATGAAATGAATAGCCGTGACATTGAGAAGATAAACATTTTCCGTGGAATGTTTGGAAACTGGATATTCACAGGAATCATTGCAGCTACAGTCATATTCCAAGTGATCATAGTCGAATTCTTGGGCACTTTCGCCAGCACCGTGCCATTAAATTGGCAGTTGTGGCTTCTCAGCGTTGTACTCGGGGCAGTAAGCTTGCTTATTGCTGTTGTTTTGAAGTGTATACCTGTTAATCAGATGACTAATACCCAACATGATGGTTATGATCTGCTCCCAAGCGGTCCAAACCTTGCTTGAAGGAAGGGTGGAATGAAGATAGAGAATGAGGAACCACCAAGTTAAATGCGAACAACTAGCTTTTTATGTTT